TATGAATTTTATGATTTTTTGGAAAAAGAATCTTTAGTGATTTGGAGACCTCTTGTGGACTAAAAGTATATTGTTAGCCTCCATGGAATTCTCCGCATATCTCAAAAGTACACTCCTGGGGATCATGTCGTTCACATTATTATTATTATTTTTTTTAACACTTGGAAATAAATCACAAACCTTTCTTTCATAGCCATGACAGCTGAGAAAGGTTGCAGGACTCAATAGCTGGAGGGCTAAGACTGTAAAAAACGGTCTAGCAGAAAATGGACAGCTTCTGTGACCTGGACCACTTTCCTGTGGGCATCGCCAGGATGTCCTGGGGAGCTATGAGGCTTGCAGGTGAGAGAGGTTGAGCCTTAGAAGGGGTCCTGATGGCCATGAAGAGTATTTAGATGGGGAAGAGTGAAGGTGGAAGAAAGGGTTTGGATAGAAGACCTGTCGAACGCTCTTCGAACAAGGTGCGTTGCCTCTTTGCGCGTCAAACCAAAGGATGTTGTGCGTGATCCTTAGGTTAACTTTCCCCACCTCCTCTTCTGTTGTATTCCATTGCCAAGTTTCAGAGTGCGTCTGCAGCTCTCAACAGGATGGGCAGCAAGTCTTAGGAATGAGTGATTTGCTGTAAATAACCCTCAGTTTGTGCTTTCTTCTTAGCCCATTGCCTCTGCCTCCGTTTTAATACTTGTTGCTTATTGGAACTTGCCACTTCCTTGGTGTTTCTGCCTCTTGTTCCTGAATCCTGTTGCTCTTCTGGTGAGAATCACTCAGTCACGGTGTCTGGATGTCCAGATCTCGCTCTGCCTGCCTGCTCCCGTCTCCTGCTGGTGCCTCTACCTTTGGTCTGTCTCAGCCCCACCCAGCCCAGGCCTCCCGAGATCTCTCCCCAGTGCTCAGCAGCCTCTTGCTCTCATCCTGAACTCTCCACATGTGTTGTTGCTGTGGCTGTTGGTGTCTGTCTAACTGCAGTGTTCTGTAAGGCGGCTCCCTCTCTACAGCTTTCTCCACCTTCTTGCCTGTCTCCTGCTGTTGGGTTCTCCATCTGCAGTGTATCTCACCCTTTAGCAGACTTCTCTTAGCAGGCCTCTCCCTCCACTCTGTTTTAACTTGTAAGTTGCCGTGTTTATCTCCTTGGCAAGCACAGTGCTGTCCAGAGGTCAGAACCGGGCATTAAATATGCTGCTGGTCCTAGAACTGACCTTGCCAACCCTGGGGTGAAGTGCACGCTCAGTAAGGGACCCTTGGAGGATGGGCCAAGTGGATGACACAGGTCTGGCGGGGGCTTGTTGGGAGGAAGCCTCGGAGCACTGAAGGATTATGAGGGAGACGCAGTAGGGAAGGGCTTCTGTTTCTAGGAGGTGCTACAACCTTTATCACTGCATCTCTCTTAAAAAATTTATGGAAACACAGCGTGGAGTAGTATAAAAAGGCGAATATATATCATAAATACATAATTTGGTGGGTTTTTACAGGCTTCACACCCATGTAGCCAATGGCCAGATAAAGCAACAGGTCGGGGCCAACTAAGACAGAAAGCTCCCCTCGCACTGACCATAGAAACTTATCAAGGTTAACCATTAGTCTCACATTCTGATTTTGAACTAAATATAAAATGAGTATTCAAGGGCCACAATGGTGGCGTATCAGGCTGATCTTTCTGTAACACCAGCATCCCATATGGGCAATGGTTTGAGTCCCAGCTGCTTCACTGCCAACCCAGCTCCCTGCTTATGGCCTGGGAAGGTAGTGGGGGATGGCCCAAGTCTTTGGGTCCCTGAAGCCGCCTGGGAGGCCCAGAAGAGGCTCCTGGGTCTCAGCTTTGGACTGACCCAGCTCTGGCCATGGAGGACATTTGCAGAGTGAACAAGAAGATGGAAGATCTCTTATGTCTTCTCCCTGCCCCACAACTCCTGTAGCTCTTTCAAACAAACATAAATAAATCTTTAAAAAAGGAGTAATTCAATATGTACTCTTGCGTCTGACTTTAAAAAATTTGTATGTTTGATAGTGTTTATATACCTGATTGCGGTGGGAAAAGTTGAGGAATAGGGGAAAGCAGGTGAAACCACTATTTCCACACTTTCCTCATCTTTTTTTTTACATCCGAGGGGAAGTGGGAGACAAGAGGCAAACCCACACCCAGCAGCCTAACAGGTCACTTGATGTCATCCCAGGGTCCCTGATGTGGAGCATGTTCTGAGGGTTCTGTTCAGGTAATTTCGATAATTCTGACATGCTGTCGATCTTGCAGATTCCTTGGAAGGAATGACGAAATCCTTCCAAGGTCCGTTGGTGGATAGAGTCCACTAGAGTCTCAATTCATCCAGAAATTAGCTGTCAAGCTTCTCTGGGGGTGGTTGGTCAGTTTGTTCTGCCCTGCTTTCTCTGCTGTGGTATTAGATGTCTTCTGCAGGCTCCAGTGGACTGCCTGGTCCTCTGTGTGCATCTGGGTATGCTGTCCACTGCACCACCTTCGGTAACTGAGGTGCAATGCACTGTTGGCTCACAGGTCCTCCCACTCTCCTCATGGCTGGTGTTCTGAGTCCAGCAGTTTAATTGGGGGGGGGGAGACCCTCAAAGGAATATTTTCTGAGGTGATCCCAGACCTGACTCCCATGTGCTCCTGCCAGTACAGGGTCTGGCTCATTCTGTCACCCACTTCAGGTGGTTCTGCAGTTTGGCTCAACAGGACTCGCCCTCCAGTCCCAACACTTGCCAGCTGATACTGCAGCAAAGCCCAATGAGCCTGCCCTCACTCAGGCTCATGCATGTACCAGTGGATACAGTCAGCCCAGCATGGCTCTCCCCACAACCCAGTTCACATGCGTTTGGCTTCTTTTGCTTAACATTTGGTCTGCAAGGTTCATACATTCTTGCTGGTGACTGAAGATCATTCGCTTTGCTGAATGGAAATAGATCTAAACTAAATGAGACCTATTCTCTTTATATTAATCAAAATACAAGTAAGAAAGTTCATTGTATGGCTATGCCACCGTTGATGAACATTCAGGAGCTCCGATTTGGATATAAGAAAATGCATTGGTATAAATCTACTCATTTGTGTCTTTTGGTGACCATGAGTTTGCATTCCACTTGGTTAAATACCAGAGAGGAATTGCTGACTCATAGACACGTTACTATATTTAGCATTGCAGATTGAGAATCTATGATATGAAAAAAGCAAACGTCCAATGTTTGAAGATCTGGACATTTTTGAGTGCTGACAATACACCACGAATAGAGAATTCCAATGGTGACGTCATGACAAATCAACTAAGATGCAGGCGCACTGTAGATACTGTACAGAGTGTTTTCAGGGCTTGTGTATTGTTATATGTCAAACATCAGGGGATTTCATGTTTAGGCTTGGACACTATTCCTGAAGTGTCTCATTAGGCTGTAAAAATATTCTAAACTGGGAAAAATTCTTGAATCTGAAACGCTTTTTTTAAAAAAATTTTTTAAAGATTTATTTTTATTATTTTTATTGGAAAGTCAGATATACAGAGAGGAGAGACAGAGAGGAAGATCTTCCATCCAATGATTCACTCCCCAAGTGAGCGCAACAGCCGATGCTATGCCGATCCAAAGCCAGGAGCCTCTTCTGAGTCTCCCACGCAGGTGCAGGGTCCCAAAGCCTTGGGCAGTCCTCAACTGCTTTCCCGGGCGACAGGCAGGGAGCTGGATGGGAAGTGGGGGCCGCCAGGAATAGAACTGGCGCCCATATGGGTTCCCGGGCATGCAAGGCAAGGACCTTAACCACTGCGCCATTGCGCCAGGCCCCTGAAACGCTTTTGTTCACGCATTTTGTGTAAGAGCCAACAACCTGTAATAGGGGCCGCTGATTGTTTTTATGAAGGACTTATATTGATTTACATTCTCACAGTACATATGAAAATTCCAGTGGTTCCACATCCTTGCCAACACTTAATGGTCTCTTCATTTCTATTTAACTATTTTTTAAATTTATGCAATGGTGTGTCATCATGGTTTTCACCACTGAAAGGATTTAACTTTAGAGCAGATATTTTTGAAGCTTAAAGTTCTTTGTTGTCTCAGGAATGTTTTCTTTTTTCTAGTTGGTTATAGATTTCTGAAACTTGTGAGTAGAAGATAAGAATAAGGTGATTGAAAAATGAAAAAGTGCTTAATGTTTGTTCTCTATTGACTTTGCTTGAAGTTTTCTTTGAATAAGATGATGGAAACAGAAGAGAAGCACGGGCCTGGAGACCTTTACCTCACAGAAAAGAACGAAGTAGAACACCTCTGCGTGCATCATTTCCAAGAATAAATTGTGTTCCAACTTTGACGTGATAGGGATATTAAACTATAACATATATAATGAAACAGACTTGAAATTACTCTGCCTACCCATGATATTGTCACCAGTCTGATTCAATTACTGGTTTTTAAAATTCAGACTGTTGAAATTTATAAGTCTTCTTTAGCAAAGTACGTGTGACATAAGGAAAATTTCCATTGGTATCTGTCATTTGGGTCCGTACTTCAATAAAAGTGCTAAGTTTTGTCTTTCAAGTTCGAAAACACACCCTCTCCTTCCTGAAGAGACGCTCCTCTCCAGCCAGGTCTTCCCTGAGGGCCAGGATGTGTCTGCTGTGTTTCCCTGTTTCCCCAAAGCACAGGGAAGCAGCGTCTCTCTGCTTCATCCTAACTCGAGAACACTTTCCAGTGATGGCAAGGACAGCCAAAGTGTGCTGAGTTATAGGATTGAGGTGGCTTTGAGTGTTGTCTGTGTCCATTCCTGCCTAAGATTTGGGGGAAAAATGACTCAGGAATTTTAGTTTTACTTTTCTCAGGTATAAACAGAAACAACAACAACAATAACATTTTTAAGATTCCTTGAATGGACTGAAAGTGGATTATATGGCAGGCAGAAAACATTTCCTTTCAATCAATTAAATTTCATCTTATAGAACATGACTAAGTGATGATAATGTTCTTTGAGATGTTTATTTGATAAATTCTCTTCATTCTCCTTCTAGCGTGGACAACTTTGGCCTGGGCCTTTTGCTCCGATCTAGGCAGATAAAACGCATGATCGCTTCCTATGTGGGAGAGAATGCCGAATTTGAGCGGCAGTATTTGAACGGTGAATTAGAAGTGGAGCTGACCCCTCAGGTGAGATGGTTTCTCTGTCTTTTTTTTAAAACTAATTTATTTAAAAATGTTATTTATTTCCCCCCAGAAATTTCTTTGTGTGGGAGAACCAAGGCAGAGGGGGTGCTGTTTTATCCAAGTGAGAGATTTTGTTGAAATGACTCCTGCTGATTATGGAGGTGTTGTATCTTCTGCTGCTTTGCTCTGGGGAACAAGGCATTTCTGGTAAAAATACAGGCTGCAGGAGGAAGTCTTAAGTGTGGCACTACATATACGTGTGTATGTTATGCCAGATGCATGCAGAAATGTTTAAGGATTGTTCTAGAAGGGCATTTTTCTGAATCCTAGAATTTGAAATTGGCAGATGATGTGGTTTGGCTAAGATGCGGGTGCAGGCTGAAGTCCGCGGAGTTAGAGAAGGTAGGTGTCACCCGTGCGCCGCCAGGGGGCGACGTGAGTTGGGAGTGAACCGTTCTCCACGGATCTAGCAAGTTCCCAGTCTGTTGCTTTGCCGCCTGACGGATGGAAGGGCTTGTCACAGAGGGAGGCGGGCGTTTTGCACACACGAGGAGCCTACAAAGCTGTCTGCCGTTTTGACGTGATCTGCCTCATCTCTAAGTCTGAACCTGCCACTCTGCTTCAAAATGGTAACCTTGCCATCTTGACCAACTTCATGGTAGTGCAATGTTGCAGGTGAAGGAAAAACAGCTTTGTTGGTCCTGTGCCTGGGGGCCGTGCCTCCTAGCCGGGCTTTCACATCTGGCCTTGCCCTGGCGCAGTGCCCCGCGCTGACCATCACACTGCGGTGTGTTTTCCATTTTCGGTGTGGACAACAGAAAGGATTTCCGGCAGTTGTGGAGCCTGAGTCAGTTCCTGAGAGGGCTCCCTTCCTGGCCTGTGGCTGACAGACCTCACCCTGGGGCTTCACCTGGCTGAGGGAGGGAGCAAGCGGGTGGGCAAGTTCTCTGACGACGCTTCTTTTTCTTTCTCAAAGATCTATGGATTTATTTGAAAGGCAGAGTTAGAAAGAGAAGGAGAGAGAGGATGGGAGCGATTGGAACTGAGACCATCCAAAGGCAGGGACCTTCTGGATGGCTGCAGGGCCCAAGCACTGGGACCGTCTCCCATTGCTTCTCAGGTATGTTAGCAGGGAGCTCGACTGGAAGTGGAGGAGCTGAGACTTGAACCAACACCTATATGGATGCCAGCACTGCACGAAGCTGCCTTGCTTGTTATGCCACAACACTGGATCCTGCTGTCACTTTTTTTTTAAAATAAAGCTTTATTTATTTTTTATTTGAAAGATTTACAGAAAGGAGGAGTGACAGAGATAGGTCTTCCACTCTGCTGATTCACTCCTCAAATGACTGCTGTGCTGAGCCACTACACCACTGCCCTTCCTGCCGTGTCGTTTATCAGAACAGCAAGCCTATGACATCAGAACCTTGCCTGTCCGCCTTTCTTGAACCTTGCCATCTTACTGTAGGTCCTGTCTCCAAGTACGTTGGAGGATTAGGGTTGCAGCTGAGAACGGTTGGGGGGTATGCGGTTCAGCCCAAAGCTTACATTTCTGCTTTTCACACTCTTAAGTTGAAATACCTTCTCCTTTGGCTTGAAAAGTCTCTCCCACGTGATCCTTTATCTTGTCACAGGACATACATGAACCTCCTTCCCAGTAAATGTCCGTGGAGTGTTGGTGTCACGGGGAAAATAGTACATGAATGTCAAAGTTTTTTGCACCAAAATCAATTTTCATTTGCATGGACTTCTTTTTGGTGAATATTATCGAAAGACTCAGGATACTAAGTAGAACCAACACTGCCCTTGAGACGGACTAGTGACCAAGTGACCTGGGAGGTTTGTGGGTCTCCTTGGGGTCACTCCTTCCCCACAGTGCCTCAGCCAGCTGAATAACTTGAGTGGCGGCACTTTTCCTGGTGGGACTATCTGAACACACTGTCCTTGGTCACCAAGTCCCTTCTTGCTGCTGAGAGCCAGTGAGTTATCCAGTAAGACAGCCAGAGCAAGACCGCAGTGATGGGCTGTGCTGGTGCAGGAGTGTGGAGTGTTGCTTGGGGAGAGCGGGGATGCTGGCATGAACAACAGAAGGACATTCCAAAGCAACTTGCCGCGCGTTGCCTCCCCTGGGAACAAGGCTGTAGATTCTCTGCTGGCGTAAACCCAGCAGCCCAGCTGTGGTGTTGGACTCTGCGCTTACCTTCATTGGCTTTCCTAGGTGCTTCAGGAGGCTGAAGCTATCTTAAACGCTTTTCCTACATATTTTAGCCCTGAATGCTATTGAATTGTTATGAATGACCTTTTTTTTAGACATGCCTATGTGTAGCACATAGTAAAGCAAAAAATATTTTTCAGCATATTTTATAGCTGAAGGTCCATAATCCAGATTTGAAATTTGATTGACAAAACACTAAAACCAAACATGTGTAGAATATGGTCTCGAGACGAGTGTGAGGAAACCGGAAGTCCATCTAGACACTTTGCTTTTCCATATGGATGGAGTAGTTGTTGCATATGGAGCCAGTGAGGCTTTTTAAAAATGGATCTTTCTACATGATGGCCTAGTGGCTAAATCCTTGCCTTGCAATCACTAGGATCCCATAGGGGTGCCAGTTCATATCCTGGCTGCTCCACTTCCCTTCCAGCTCCCTGCTTGTGACCTGGGAAAGCAGGAGAGGATGGTCCAATGCCTTATGACCCTGCACCCGTGTGGGAGACTGGGAAAAGTCCCCTGGCTTTGATCGGCTCGTCTCTGGCCATTGCAGCCAGTGGGCAGTGAATCAGCGAATGAAAGTTCTTTCTGTGTCTCCTCTCTGTAAATCTGACTTTCCAATAAAGAAATAAAAGTAAAGTAAATCCTTAGCAATGGATCCTTGAGCACAGAGCGCTGGGGAAAGACGCTGCTCGTAGAGTCATCCCGGGCACTTTTTAAACTGCCAGCCCGCGCAGGGCCGGAGCCTTGTCCCTGCGTGTTTCCGTGCTGGCAGTCGGAGCGGGTGCTGGGCGAACTGGCTAATGCGGCGCTTGTGGCTCCCTTGCAGGGCACGCTTGCAGAGAGGATCCGGGCAGGAGGGGCTGGAGTTCCTGCCTTTTACACCAGCACAGGGTACGGAACCCTGGTCCAGGAAGGAGGGTCCCCCATCAAATACAACAAAGACGGCAGTATCGACATTTTCAGCGAACCGCGAGAGGTAAGGAGTGCGCTCCGGGACGCCGGGGTTGGGAGCCGGGCCTCTGGGTAGACCCATCGAGTGATGGTGTGAGGACAGACGCTCATTTTCATCAGAATTACAGGTGAGGTTTCTGGCTAGCCTGGGCTTCGGCTCCTCATCAAAGTCCTGTAGAAAAACGAGTGAACAAGGACAAAAGAAGCTATGGTCTAATATAATAATTAATCTAATAGCCAAGATTAGTTCCTTTGTTTGTTAATTAAAATTTTTTTCAGCAGTGACACTATTAACATTTTGGGCTACATACTTCCTTTGTCCTTTAAATTGTATGTGAGGGGCAGAGAGATCGAGAAAGAGACAGAGACACACACACACACACATTTTCACCCCTCTCAGCTGCGGGGTTATTCTGTACAAGCCTGCGCTGTCTGGGGCGCACGCCATAGCTGGGAGTCGGAAACTCCGTCCGGGCCTTCTGCTGCTTCAGGTTCCAACCCAGAGCCCTGCCTCCTGGGAGAGCAGCATGCCTGTTGGTGACTCACTACTAAGCCACACACCCATCTTCCTTTTTCTCTTTTTTGAAGATTTATTATTTGGAAGGCAGAGAGGCAGGGAGAGACAGAGCTCTCCCAACCACTGCTTCGTCCTGCACGTGGCTGAGACCACTGAGGTAGGGCCAGGCTGAAACCCGGTAGCCAGGAACTGAATCCGGGGGGCTTCTGCCCAAGGGGCAGGGCCCGAACTAGGGCCATCTCAGGCACCTTAGCAGGGAGCTGGAATGGAAACAGAGTATCCGGGGCTCAAACGGGGTGGCCCTACTATGTGCTGCTGCCACTGTTGCAAGCGGTTGCATGACAAGGTTGGCCATCGTCTTCCTCTTCTTTTTTTTTTTTTTTTTTTTTTTAATGTTAGAATAGCTAACTCTTAGAAGCAGCTGGTGTGTGACCCAAGCAGGAAATTCTATCATTGGAATCGGCGAGAAAAGTGACATTCTCGATTCTGCTCCGTGTTAGTACGTGGTGACTCCAGTTTTGAAGTTGTTGCTCAGCTACTGCTGTTGGTGTTTGTAGTGATGATGCTGAGGTCCCCGTCGGTTGGAAGTGACCACCGCTTCAGGGAGCTAGTGTCCCGATGCAGTGGGTAAAGCCGCTATCTGCGAACCTGGCCTCTCCATGCTCCTGCTTGAATCCCAGCTGCTCCATGTCTGCCAGTCACCTGGGCAACGCAGCTAACGACGGCCCGCGTGTGTGTGGGCCCCCCGCGACCTGGGTGGGAACCCTGGAAGAAGCTCCTTGCTCCTGGTTTCAGCCGGGCACAGCCCTTGCTCTTGCAGCCGTCTGGGGAGTGAACCAGGAGCTGGAGGATCTTTCCTCCACTTCTTCTTCTTCTCCTTCTTCTCTCCCTTTCTGTAACTCTGACTTTCAAATAAATAAGTAAATCTTTAAAAAAAAAATTAAGACCTTTCACAAAATGTATCCATCTTTATAGAAAGAAGAGCTTCATTTGTTCATGATTCTTTAATTTCATTTACCTTTTCTAGAATGAAAATGAGATGACTTTACAGAAACTTATGAAAGGATTTCTGCTTTAAATGATATATAAAGAAAAGTCATTGTACCAAAAGAGTTTTTCAAAAGATTTAGTTGTTTACCTGAAGGGAAGAATGGCAGGAAGAGAGAACTTGCATCCGGTGGGTCACTTCTCAAATGGCAGCACAGTGAGGTCAGGGCCAGGTCAAAACCGGGAGCCTGGAATTCCTTTCTGATTTCCCCAGTGCGTGGCAGGGACCCATGTATCCCAGTCCTTTCACCATCCTTTGTTGCCTTCCAGGTGCATTACCCTGAGGCTGCATTGGACGCAGCGTAACTAGGAAACAAACAGAACAACACTCAGATATGGGACGGTGGTGTTGCAAGCTGCGGCCTAATTTTCTAACCCTCTCACCAAAAAGTCCTATTGGGAAAGCTTTTTACTAAATGCGCTTACTCTACTTGTCCGCCAGGGGGTGCTGCAGGAGTGAAAATGAAATTCAGGCTTTGGATGGCTTCATCCCGTGCAGTGACAGAGGATGACAAATGGTCTAGGTTTCGTCTTTCCATTTGCTTTGGTCCTCTAAGTGGACAAAGGCAACAAAATGCCATGACAGAATCCCTGCCTTATGTTCTGCACCCTCCAAATTAATAGGCAATAAATTTAAAGAAGCAACAGTAGCATTCCGTTTATCCAGTAGTGATAGAAAAGATGTGATAAAACAAGGCAATATTGATCGTAGTTATCAGAATCCACGAAGCATCCAGGAGTGAATCCCAGGAGGCCCTTTAAGGAGAAGTTTGAGATGTAAAATGAAAACATCAGTCATAGAAGCACAGATTCTGCCAGTGGGCAGTGCATCACTTCTCTGCACATTAGCTTACTCTTTAGTGGATCGCAATGAAAAATCTCAACAGGAAGAGATGAATGAGTTGATAAAACTATTCATATTTTGTGCACCCCACAAGCTATTTCATGTCACTTCTATCATTTTTTCTCAGAGCTGAGCTGGGGAGATGGACTATGTTTCATTTTCAGAATGCGAGTTAGGCACACAGCTAATACGGTGAATGTCACCCCCTTTCAGGCCTGAAGAACTGTCCATTGCCCTACAGCTCCAAGCTTCCTCTTGTTGCTGAACCTTGCCTGTCCTGGTCCCTGAGCTCTGTCCAGCCCGCTCGGACTGGGGCCCATGTGCCCACACCACTCACCTGTGCAGATGCTCTTCCCTCCTGGGACCCGGAACGCTGAGTCTTGAGTCCTGGTCTCCAGCCTTTGTCACCGTGCACGCGATGAGCATGCGAGTCACGTATGATGCTTGCCACCACGCTCTTTTGTCTTGTGCAGGTGAGAGAGTTTAACGGCCAGCACTTCATCCTGGAAGAGGCCATTACGGGGGATTTTGCTTTGGTGAAGGCCTGGAAGGCCGACCGAGACGGAAATGTCATCTTCAGGTAATGGGATGTCTATGAGCAGTTCTGTATTTCTTATGTTACGATGATTAAAAAAAAAATAATGCTTTTTAAAAAATGTTGTCATTTTAAGGATGGATAAGGTTGAACACCTCTGTGGGATTGTGTGCGTTTATGCTGTGTGTGTTCAGAATGTCTCTGTGATGTTGCTGGCCAGGTGCACGTGTGTATTCTGTCCCTGCAGATGCTCGCCTGCAGTTGCTAAGACCAGCAGCACATCAAGTTAGTTCATCTTCCTGCTGTTGTAACGTGTCAAAATCACTTTGTTGTTCTGGAAAGCCATTGCTCATAGTGCTTTAGGGTCACTTCTTCTCGTGTCCCGCAGGTGTGTCCCAGGAAGTGCTCGTCGATGTTCTGTCAGCAAAGTTGATTCACCTTAATAATGCTGAACTCTTATTCTCATTACCTGGGTAGCCGCAGACCTAATGGGCTTTTCTTCAGAATACAATCACTCTGGCTTCTCATGTTTCTTACTTGCTCCTTTTTGGGTCCTGCTATTTTAGTGACAGCAAGGGGGCTTGAAGATGTATTTAGCCACAGGATAAGCTAACATCCCAGCTAAAGAAATGAAGGCAAATTCATTCCTGCTGGAGTCAATTGACTAACAACTTTTCTGTCATTTTGCATATAAGCCATATATTGAGCATGAAAAATAGTTCTCTTTCCCTTCCACACGTGATGCAAACGGAGTGAAATGGGCCTTCTGTTTTTTAAGTACAAAATGTTATAACTGGAAGATAAGATACACTCTTTTGAAAGGATGTTTTGTGAATAAATATTTATCTAGTTTATATTGTGAAAGCTGGGAGAGATGCATCATCCTTTTTTTTTTTTCTTTTTCATGTCTGATGTAGGAAAAGTGCAAGAAATTTCAACCTGCCCATGTGCAAAGCTGCAGAAACGACCGTGGTGGAGGTGAGCCAAGAGGTCATGGCGGAAGTCCTGGAGTCCAGGCTTCACCCTGGTGTGATGTGTTCGTTCAGGAACGAGCCCAGCAGGTGCTTTGTTTCCTGGAGGGTGAAGAGTGACAGCTTTCATTCTGGACCATGGGCCAGTTCTACCTTGCTGGGTGATAGCTGACAGATTGCTATACTGGCCGCCTTTGGTTCCGTTGGGTCCTTCTCTGAACATTCTCTTGGGGATTTAGCTTGTGGGACCAGGTCATCTGAGTCTTTGAATGTTGAATAAAACAGACCTTCTTGCATGAAATCTAAACGAACTGATTCCTGCAGCATGCCAGGGAAATAACAAATTGTATCAGGTGAAGTTTGTTACATTTCTGGGTAAAAACGGAGTGGATTCCTCAGGGGAAGGAGTGGGTACGCTTGTCTGGGGTGGCTCTCAGGGTACAGGGGAGTGCACGTGTGGGGGCTCTCGTTGGGGCTCCTCAGGGTTTGGGAGAGGTGGAACTAAGCCTGGAGCCCTCCTGGAGTTCAGGCTCAAGGTTTGTCACTCGCTTACACATATTCGAACCCCAAAGGAAGTTTCCAGATTATTCTCAGCTCAGGCTTTAGAATCAGATGTTCTTGGGCATTTGTGATAGTTTTCTGTTCCAAGGGCAAAGGCCCCTGGGACCGACCTGGGGTTCTGGCAGTGGGAACTCGTGCCCCTGAATTCCCGCGTGTCGGTGGTATTCAGGGTGGCACCTTCGGTGGCGTCTGCGTGCTAAACTAGCGAGAGTTTGCCCTTGGAAGTAATCACTTGCTCCAGTTCTCTGGGAGGTGAGCTGCAGTGTCTGCAAAGTGTTGGAGGATGTGGCGCCCCCTGCCAGGTGTGGCACGTGCTTTTGCAGGGGACTTTAGAGGACTCTGTGTGGGGAACAGGTCATGCGATTTGTCCTCTCTGGGTACAAATGCTTCCTTCCTTCTTGGGTCATCATAATGCCTGCCTGTGCCACTGTGCCATCCCATGGCTTCAGATACCACCCTATTGATGGGATGGAGGCAGCGTGTCTGACTGTAACAGCACAGAGAATTTCCAAGTGCACCTGCTGTCTCGCATACAGCCAGAATCTGCTCCTGTGGACTCCCAGCAGGCAGCGTTTCTCCCCTGAGTCCCCAGAGAGCTTATGCAGGGTCCTGGCTGAAGTGCAAAAACATTTCTTTCCCTCTTAGGGTATTTTTTTTTTCCAGTAGAGAATGGTCTTCTTACAGGCGAGAGCCAGGGGAGATTAGAACAGAGCTGCCCTCACATTGGGTTAAGGAGAGAGAATCCTGGAAATAAAGTCCAGGTTACTCTTGACTGTCCCAAGACAGAATTTTTTGAACAAAGCACCTTTTGCAGGTAGGCCCAGACTCACTTTAGGATCTCTTTTGAAAGATGAATTTTTGTTTTTATTTGAGGGGAGAGAGACAGGCAGACAGCATCCATCTACTGTTTGACTTGCTGTATGGCCACAGTGACTGTGGCAGGGCCAGCCTAAAAAGTCTGGGACCGTGAAGTGTCTGGGTCTCTCACACGGGGCGCAGGTGCCCAAGCTCATGGGCCATTATCCACTGCTTTCCCAGGCGTATTAGTAGGCAGCTGAAGGAAAGTGGAACAGCTAAGAATCAAACTGACACTCATATGGGATGCTGGCTTCTCAGGTAGCAGCTTGACCCGCTGTGCCATGATGCCAAACTCTGAGATCTCTTTCAACTCATCCTGCAGGCAGTCACTTGCGGCTGACTGCCCTGTCTATTATGGGAGTCACTAGCTACATATGACCTTTCACATAAAATTCATTCATATTGGGCCTGGCGTGGTAGCCTGGCAGCCAAAGTCCTTCCCTTGCACGTTCTAGAATCCCATATGGGCACTGGTTCCTGTCCTGACAGCTCCACTTCCCATTTAGCTCCCTGCTTATGACCTGGGAAAGCAGTGGAGCATGGCTCAAGACCTTTGGACCGCGAACCCGCGTGGGAGACCTGGAGGAAGCGCCTGACTCCTGGCAGGAGCCCAAACACTTGAAACATTTTCTGTGGCTTTCCAGGTATGCTGGCAGGGTACTGGATGGGAAGTAGAGCAGTCAGGAATCAAAGCAGCACCCCTATGGGATGCCAGCATTGCAGGTGGCATTGTAACTCACTGTACCACAATGCTGGGCCCCAGCCCGTTGCTTTTCATGTTATTGTTGTGTGATTAAACAGCAATTTGCAATCAATGTTTTGTGTTAGCAAGTATGTTTAACTTGGAAATCAGTTTTGCAGGTTCCAGGGGTGGCATGGTGGGTTAAGTTGCTTTCTGCCACATTGGCGTCTTTCCACTTGTGATCCTGATCCCTGCAGGTGCACCTGGGGAGGCGGTGGAAGATGGCTTGAGTACTTGAGCCCCCAGCATGTGTGTGGGAGACCCGGATGGTGCTCTGGGCTCCTGGCTGCAGCGTGGCCCAGCACTGGGTCATTGCAGCCTTTTGGGGAATATGCCAGCAAATTGAAGAGCTCTTTTTCCAACCCCCCTTTCCCTGCATTGTCTCTCTACCTTTTAAATAATTAAATTTTTAAAAACTGAAATTAGATTTTGCCCTTGACATAACTATTTAGAATTTCTGTAATACAGAAACATTATTATTTTTTTTTTTCTGGAAATGTTTTCCCTTTCGAGTGTGTTCCAGACAAGCTTGTAAGTTGCATAAAACCAAAGTGCTGACTACCGTGTAATTTTGCTAAAACCGATTTTAATGTTACATTTGCATTACCTTTTTCTACTTTAAAATATTTATGTATGTATTTATTTTATCTATTAGAAAGATAGATAAGCAAGATCTACTGCTTCACTCCCCAAAGGCGCTTGCCAGCCAGGGCTGAGCCAGGCCCAAGCCAGGAGCCCAGCACAGGGCCCAGGCCTCCACTTGATGTGGGAGGGGCCCACCCGTGACCCTTCATCTGCTGTATCCTTGGCTGCATCAGCAGCAAGCTGATTTGGAAGTGGAGCAGGCAGGACCTGTGCCAGAGGAGCTAGTCCAGAACGTAGATGTCCCCGCTCCGCTGTTTGCATCCTTCTCCTCAGAATCGTGAGGTTGTCGGTGCCAGCTGCATCTTGCTCCCCTTCTGCGGGACCTGGGTGGTTACTTGGGGGAAGTGGTCCATGTGGGTACGCACACTGACATGCATGCCAGCTCCATGTTTCTTCTTTTAGTCCAGACAGTGTTATTTCTGAACCTCCTTCTCTTTGAGTGGGTGAAGTTTGCTCTGATAAACTTGAGACATTTAAGTACAAAGCCAGCTGGGAGAGACTGCGGCTGTTGTGTGTGTGTGTGTGTGTGTGTGTGTGTGTGTGTGTGATGAGATGCAGCAAGAACTATCAAGTCTTCCAAAGGGAACTCATTTGGCCCTTTCTCAGGAGGAGCCTGCTTAACCTCTTACCTAGCCTGGATCCCCTCTGTCCCTCTCCCGTGGACACTTAGCCCGCCATCTGGTGTTTCTCCGGGAAGTGGCCTGTTTCTACTCTGCTGCTGGTTTTTGAGGTGCTGATAGCCGGAAGTGTCGGGGCAGGGACAGGAGTGCCTCGCCGTGCAGGCTGTTGGCGCTGTGTCTGCTGCAGCAGCCTGGCGCGCACGTGCCGTCAGGAAAGGTCGTGTGACTCAGCCGTCTGACTGCTGAGCTGCTGCGACGGAAATAGCCCCTTTCCTTTGGCTTCCTTTGTGCGGTCGGGCTTGCGCTCTGGCAGGAGTCACAAGATGGCAAAGGTTTACCCGAAGCCCCTTCAACCATTTTGACTCATTTGGCTTAGTTAAAATAAGTATATTCCCTAGTGTGATTTAAATAGCCATTTAATAGGATTTATATGATGACATATATTTGCGGGAATTTTTATATTTGACAAATATGAATGCATATACATTCATATAGCAAGTGATTTATGCAACACAGTAATAAAGTGAATATCTAGGAGCTCAATGAAAAGAATATTTCCATTTATATGCCCTCCTACAAGAACACATTACTGTAAGGCTTATTGTGTATTTATGTCCTTTGTCTTAACAATATCCTACGTCATCAGGCATGGACATATTGCAGTTATCTTCTGAATCGACACTGTAGGACATTTTCTTTATCAGAGCCAAGCTTTGGGAACTGGGACTTCTATGTTCTGCAGCAAATCCTGGCTCAGCATCTCTTGGAGGCTCAGCAGAGGGAAAAGTTAGGGGTACGCACTGTCCTGCCAAGCACACATACGTTGGCAGGTGGGAAACAGTGAAGAAGGCAACGAAAGGCACATTTAAAATGTTTGTTTTTAATGCTTATTTGGAGGGTGGTGCACACCCAACAGCAAGCAGAAGGGCTGGAGCTCGGTTGGCTCTAGTGACCATCAACCCACAGTCACCCCCGCCCCAACTTCCCCATCCCCTCCCCTTCCTCCTCCTCTGGGGTATTTTGAAAGTAGCATCAGGCATCTCATCTCCATGACATTTGAAGGCAAGTTCATTGGCATCAAGGAATTCCAGTTTGCTAAACACTTGTCTAAGTTACGGAGAGATAGCAGTGCGTTGCACGGGGAAAACTCCCAGCCCTCCTGTGGTTCACTTTCTGATGATCAACCCAGGCCGAGAGTTAAATCAGTCAAATATGTAGTGCAGTAGATGTGGAAAAGTGTTATAAAAACAAAGTATGAAAAAGCACATGAAATAGCAGGGAAAGAACATGAAATGTTAGATACGATGGTCCGTGGAAAGATAACACTGAGGTTTCTGGGTGAAGACCTCAGCAGAGGGAGGGAGCTGATGGATTTGCAGCAAATTGAGTGGGAGCCCTCTGGGTGGGCCGAGGGAGCAGCAGGTGCAGAGATCTGAAACAGAAGCTGGAGGGTACAGAATAAGGACTGGATACTTTATCCTCTTTAGGGCAAGGTGGTGAGTTGCAGAGTTTTTGTTTTTAATTAAGACTTGATTTGGTTATTATTTATTAGGGTAGTAGAAGGGTGGGGGAGACAGTGAG